AATGCACCGGCCCCTCCCCGCACACAACAAAAACTTCCTACAAGTCTATGTATTTGGCACTAGCGTGTAAAGTATAAACTCCAAATACAACCCCTTCCCTGAGCTTCAGGAGCCTGTGTGCTCTGTTTACATTCAGCTTGTCTGCAGTCTGCACTGTACCTGCAGACAAGGAGCGAGAATAACACAGTGAGCTCCACCACGCTGACTCAGCAATATGGTCTCTGCTCCGAGAGACGTGTCCATGTGTGGCCAGACGATGGCGTGTCACACACGGACATTGCGTGCCCCCGAGCGCCTCACCTGCCGTGTCCACGGTGGGGTTCCAGGAGGGACACATGATGGCGCCGAGAGCTTCCTGGAGGTTGCAGCCTGAAAGAGAAACAAAGTGTTCAGCCGGCTCTGAATGAGAGAATAGTAACATTGTATCTTCATATAGAACGCCGGACGGAGAGTCACATCACATGACACATATCAAGCCCTCGTATGACCACAAAACACGGAAGAACCGGCAACAGAGCAGCGCCAGGGTGTAGAAATCTCACGCCCTCCCCCCAGCCTGATGTTGGAGCTGTGTGAAGCTGTGGCCCTCCACTATCAGGACGGGGGTCGGTGTGCTCCAGCGCCGGGTCTGGGGCTCAGCTCTTGCTGGTTACTATCGGCCACGAGCCGTGCAAAGACTTTATTCTGGAAGCAAAGTGCCCTTCTGCCCCCACCCTCCCCCGCCGCACATGTATACTTACCCCGATCCGAAATTTCCCTCCTTATACTTGTTGTTATCTCTGCGGTTCTCACTCATGTAACATACACGGAAATGACATTTCGGGATCTACAGAACAGAAGCGGGTCAGCCGGAGTCTTTGTGGCCCTTGATGTGGCCGGGGGAAGTTCTGTGTAATCTTCTGGGGACGCCATACATTGATAGAGATTCTCTGAGGAGAATTTATCTAAATCTGGAGCAGCTGTGCACAGCGACCAATCAGCTTCTCTGTCTCATTTTCAAATCTTACCTGAGCAAGCTGAAGAGAGAAGCTGGTTGGTTGCCACGGGCAACTGCTCCAGATTTTGTCTGCTCAAGATTTGACGAATGCCCCTCCACTGTGTTTTATGAATGATCTTCTATCGAGGGTCATTAGTCTGTTGTATCACCTCACCTACTGGGACCTACTGGGTCATACTAGGTCATACTAGGTCATACTGGGACCTACTGGGTCATACTAGGTCATACTGGGACCTACTGGGACCTACTGGGTCATACTAGGTCATACTAGGTCATACTGGGACCTACCGGGACATACTGGGACCTACCGAGTCATACTGGGACATACCGAGTCATACTGGGACATACCGAGTCATACTGGGACATCCCGAGTCATACTGGGACATACCGAGTCATACTGGGACATACCGAGTCATACTGGGACATACCGAGTCATACTGGGACATACCGAGTCATACTGGGACATACCGAGTCATACTGGGACATACCGAGTCATACTGGGACATACCGAGTCATACTGGGTCTTACTGGGACATACTGGCCATTACTTACTGGCAAGCTCCAGTGTGGCGGGCTCACACGTGTCCAGAACCTGCTGCCCTCCAGACATCAGCGAGGAGATCTTCTGCCGCAGTTTTTCCTCCCAGCTGTTGAACCTGATCTGCTCGTTGGGGTCGCCCCCGCCCTCCGCCTGCTGCTCCAAGGCGGCCATCTTGAGTCTCACGGCCCGCCTGCAGTCGCCGTAGCGCTTCTTGCACACCTCGATGGTCCTGTACGTTGTGGCTACGCTGTTGACTTTATCGGCCACGTCCTGCCACAGCCGCCTCTTCCTGGTGGCGCTCCCTTTTATGGCGGAATGACCGCACAGGTCTCTGTAATGGAGGAGGACGTTCACCACCAGGGCCTCGTTCTCCTCCTCGCTGAAGCGCTGGCCCCTCTGCCGCTCCTCCTCCACGTACGACAAAGTGTGTTTCTTGCGTTTACGTTGGAACTGCTGGCGGTCCCGGATGGCGAAATGGTGCCAGCCACCTCGCCTCTTCTTGCCGCCCCTCCGGTGTCCTCCGCCGCGCTCCATCTCACTCATGGACCCATTGAAGCCGAATCTGTGACCGGCTCTGACCGCGTCTTTCCTGTGTTCCTTCTTAGAGCTCCGGCCTCGGCCCCGGCACACTGCGCTCCCGCCTGCCACCGAAAAACAACAAAGGAAACGCATAGAACATTCACCTCAATGACACGTTATATAGCATGACACCTCCCCGTACAGGGGGGTACACACCGGGGGTATAGCATGACACCTCCCCGTACAGGGGGGTACACACCGGGGGTATAGCATGACACCTCCACGTACAGGGGGTACACACCGGGGGTATAGCATGACACCTCCCCGTACAGGGGGGTACACACCGGGGGTATAGCATGACACCTCCCCGTACAGGGGGGTACACACCGGGGGTATAGTATGACACCTCCCCATACAGGGGGTACACACCGGGGGTATAGCATGACACCTCCCCATACAGGGGGATACACACCGGGGGTATAGCATGACACCTCCGCGTACAGGGGCGTACACACCGGGGGTATAGCATGACACCTCCCCGTACAGGGGGGTACACACCGGGGGTATAGCATGACACCTCCCCGTACAGGGGGGTACACACCGGGGGTATAGTATGACACCTCCCCGTACAGGGGGGTACACACCGGGGGTATAGTATGACACCTCCCCGTACAGGGGGTACACACCGGGGGTATAGTATGACACCTCCCCGTACAGGGGGTACACACCGGGGGTATAGTATGACACCTCCCCGTACAGGGGATACACACCGGGGGTATAGCATGACACCTCCCCGTACAGGGGGATACACACCGGGGGTATAGTACTACACCTCCCCGTACAGGGGGATACACACCGGGGGTATAGTAGGACGCCTCCCCGTACAGGGGGATACACACCGGGGGTATAGTAGGACGCCTCCCCATTCTGCATTCCCGGTTTCTTGTTCGGCCATTCTTCCTCTTCCTCTTCCGGTCTCGCCGGTTCTTGCTCATCTTCTCCTGTTGGAACTACAAGAGTTAATGATGAGGCCACAAAATTCACATTTTAAATAATTTAAGCTCCGCCCCCGAGGAGCAGAACATGCCCCCCCCCCCCCCCG